AGTATCTATTTTTCTTTCATCAATTCATTTATTAATTCAAATATTTTAATTGTACCATTTTCTAATCCAGCTACAATAATAGATGAATTATCATTAAATGCAAAAGATAAACACCTTATTGATGAGTTTTTATTGTTTTCTTTCATTAATTCATATGAAAATGGTTAAGGATTACAAGGAACTTCATCTTCAGAATCTTCGACCTGATTTATTTCAAATTCTTCACTGTAATCTTTTAGATTTTATATAAATTTGTCAGTGATTTCTATAAACTACTCTGCTAGCCTGTGCTTTTCTTTATTAAATTTAATAAAGTTGCTTAAAATATTACTAATTTCATTTGAATTTAAATTTAACAGATCACTCTCCATTATTGAATACGTAGCTAGAATTCCTGATTTAAATTGCTTGAAATGTTATTACACTTTTGAAAATTAGATTTCTATCTCCTCTACTATTTTATTGCATTCTTAAGATAAGTCTTTCAAATATTCACAAAGTTTCTCAATTTTTTCAGTATCTTTATTATGATTTCCATGTATGGAATCAATTTTAGAGCATTATTCAAAGCAAAATAATCTTTTCTCTTTACAATATTCATTTGTACAAAACTTCTCAACAGGATATTCATGTCCCCTAGCACATTAAAGCTGCAACATTCTAATAAGTTAATTATATTATTACCCTCTAATAAAATGATAATAGAAAAATGAAAAAATGAATAATAATAAATAACTATAATTAAATGTGTGTAAAGGTGTTAGGTTTTTGCAGATGAGATTCTAATTATTATCAAATAGAATAATTATACATCTCATGCAATGCTAAGTAAAGAAAAAAAAATTTGATTACCAAATATTACTATATCTTAATATAGGGGACCTTATGAGACAGCATAAATAATAAATAATTATATGTTAGAACTGGTTTTTTCAATAATTGAAAGTATATTTATTATTAACGACAAGAATACCTTTTCTTCCAATTAATCTTGAAATGCTGAGTTTTTTGATATTTGGCATAAAAATAATAAATATGAAGATGTAATTTGAATCGAAAAAAATTAAACCAAGGCTATCCTAAACATTTTAAGCAGTTGAAATTAATATAATTCTTTATTGTAAGACTTCCTTGTTAATATATATCTGTAGAATAATCATTCCCTATTGGAAATATAATCCTAATTTTCCACCTTACTTTAATGTTATGAATATAGTTGCTTCACAAACAAACTAATTTTTGATACCTGTTATTCAAAGTGTTAATGT